CGTCGACGACATGCACCCCTACGACGCCTACGAGAGCTCGTCCAAGGCCGTCGCGGGCCGCTTCTCCGACGACGACGTCGCCAAGGTGCAGCGGACGTACTACGCCATGTGCGCCGAGGCCGACTTCTTGCTGGGCCGCGTCGGCGACGTCGCCAAGGCTCGGGGCTTCTGGGACGACGCGCTCGTCGTCTTCACGAGCGACCACGGCGAGATGAACATGGAGCACCGCCAGGTCTGGAAGAATTCCATGTACGAGGCGTCGGCGCGCGTGCCGCTGATTTTAGGCGGCGGCGCGCTGCCGGCGGGGCTGAAGCGCGGGTCCGTGGAGACGGGGCTGGCGACGCTCCTGGACATCTTTCCGACGATGATGGACTTCCTCGGCGCGCCGAATCCCCAGAAGCCGCTGCCGGGCGTCGAGCTGGGCGGGAAATCGCTGCTTCGAAAGGAGCGCCACGCGTCCGTGATCTCCCAGTACCACTCGAACATGTCGCCGACGGCGGCCTTCATGATCCGGAGCGGCACCTGGAAGTACGTCACCTACGGCCGCACCCTCGAGGCCTTTTCGGGCTACGAGTCGAAGCTCTACGACGTCGACGCCGACCCGCGCGAGCTCCACGACGTTTTGCAGGCGCACGCCGACGTCGCCGCGCAGCTCGACAGCGTCCTGCGCGCGGAGCTCGCGACGGGGCCGAACGCGCTGTCTCCGACGGGCGACTACCAGGCCATCGACGCCTACGCGAAGCGGCAGAACAAGGCCACGTACCTTCGATTCTTCGCGGGCGCCCGCCTCGCGGACCGCCTCGGCGACCACGCGGCCTGCCTCGCGGCCGGCGAAGCGCGCGAGGACGCGGACTACGACGCGCCCTGCCGCTTCTCCGCGGGGAACGCGACGACGCTCCGGGACCTCTTCGACGGCGCGTACCGCGGCTTCGACGACGCCGACTGGGCCAAGGTCCAGGCCTGGGTCGCCGAGGACGTGCCGGGGGCGATTTTGTAGAGGGCGTGTTTTTTTGCCACACGACTTCAACACGGAATTGTTGAACAAGGTGCTGGCGATTGAGGTCCAAACTGTCTTGCTGCAGAATATCGAATTCGCGCATCCTCGTCAAGCGCATTCGTCACGGTCGGGGCGCCTTCAAACGCCCCCAGGCGCGCCATGAAACTCGTCGTCGCAGCGCTCCTGTCATCGCTCTCGACCGCGTTCGAGAGCGCGTACCTCAGATCATTAGCCAAGCGGACGCCAAACACCCAGCGCCCGAGCGCTTCCCACGGTCGCTCCGACGTGCCCATCTATGAGGCCGGCGGCGGCGGCTCGATGGGCCACTTCGCGCCGGAGGCGGGCTTCGTCGGCAAGGACACGTCCGCCAAGGCCGCGGGCGGCTCGTCCGCGCCCGACTGGCTCGCCGCGAGGGTCGACGAGCACCGACAGGCGGCGGGCGCCGTCGAGGCCGCCCCCGCCAAGGCCAAGGCCGCCCCCGCCAGGGCCGTCGGCGATTCGATGGGCCGCTTCGAGTCGCTCGGCGTCGGGCCACTTCGCGTCGACTCAGCGACGGACTTCGCGTCGACGGCGGGCTTCGCCGCCAAGGCCCTCGACGGCGGCTCGATGGAGGACCTGGAGCGCGGCGTCAAGGAGACCCAGGACCGCCTGCGGCGCCTGAAGGCGACCCAGGCCGTCGTCGCCGAGGCCGTCGAGCAGACGACCCAGGCCACCGCCAAGGTCGTGGACGCGGAGTGGTCCGTCGCCGGCGGCTCGCTCGTGGCCTCGATGGACGCCAGGGCTCGCGCCGCTTCCTCCTCCGCGGGCGCCGCGGCCGCCCCCGCCGAAGCCGTCGCCGATGGCTCGCTG